AGTGTCTGTGGGGGGGGCGGGATGTCTGCAGCCGAGGTATTGAATTGCATCATTGCACTGATTTTCTGCAGTATTTTTGCAGTATTTTCTGATGCAACTTTTCTACTTCTGTTATTTGCTGTTGTTTCTTAAAAAAAAGCATAACGATATTACAGCTTTCATTGATTTATTTCAAACTTGAAACTTTGTTTAGCCTGTAAGGTGTAAAAAAAAAAAAATAATAATGAACCGATTAATCGAATCGAATCGTGGTGTATTCTTGAGTACCGAAAAATCAGAATCAGAATCAGAATTCTTTATTTTGTCATTGCTCCACAGGGGTGCAACGAAATTTCTCGAAAAAGAAAAAAAAAAAAAACAGTACAAGCAATTAGTGCAAATTTAAAAGTAAAATAAATACGAAAAAGTTTAAAAAGGGATACTGCGGGCTCTCCTGAGGTAGCGGGTACAGGTTATTGCACGTAACCTGCAATAATAATCGAATTGTTGGGTCCGGAAATCGATACTGAATCGAATCGCCATGATGGATGTGATTTACACCTCTAATATTTACCTTAAATGTAAACTCTTAAATGAAAGAGGAATCTTCCCTGAGTTACTGCGGCTGAAGTTTGGATGAGCTTGGATGATAAATATGGAAGCTTTTGTCTTTTTAAAGCAGCTTTTTTTTGTCCCATAAAATTGTTACTTTACCGTAATATTATAACCTTATTTACAAAATATGTATTTATATTGTAAAACTTTTTTCAAATTTTTAACCAGAAATGAGAGAAAATACTTATAATCGATTAGATTAAATGACATATACTCACATGATTAATAAAAAGCTTATTTTGCCATAATGGAAACTCAATTGTTCCACATCCATCCAGAGACGTTTCCAGTGTGTAGTGGGTTGCGTTGACTTTAGCTCCGCATGCAGGGTCTTTCAGCGTGAGGGTGGCGTTAAAAAATCCGTTCTCCTGGGAAAACATGAAAACACACAAAAAGAAAACGGTGGATAGAAAAATCAAGCAAGGAATTCTTTCATGGAGTCATTTTTGTTTAGAGAATTGTAAAAGTAAAAAGCTACATAATAAAAGCTAAAGCGGTCGTGCGTAATGGAGTTCTCAGGAATAAACAAATCCCACAAGGTGGTCTGGCAGGAGCTATTAATTACAGAGCATGCCAGTTTCCATTCTGTGATGTGGACTGACTGACTGGGTGATGTTTCAATGCCAAATGTTTGCCTGCCTCAGCATAAGCCATGTGAAAACGGTTCGCTTCGCCGCACTTTAATACGGAAAGGTCTGTATGGCCTAAACTCTCTCACTGTTGATGATTGGAGGCTTAAAAAAAAGCAGATTTGATGATTTTAATGATCGTCACTCGCTGTTGGTTGTTTCAGTGTCGCCCTTTTTGGAAACATGGATTCTCATCGGCGCTTTGTCAGTAATTACTGTGGAGAAAACATTCATTAAGGTTCCTAATTAGTTTGGACTTTATTCTCTAATGGGTGTCTGACACTAAAGCTATTTCTGGCACCTTTTTGGTTTTTTTTCAAGTTTGTCAGCTCATGTTACAAAGATTTTTGTTCTGATATTTGCAAAATGGTTTATATTTTAAAATGATTCTTCTGGAGGTCTTCTCTGGACCTTCAGAATGGAAAAAAGAAGAAGTGCTTTTATCTTTTAAACATGGTTTAAAGTTATCAGGTGAATTATTATTGAGTGAATCGTCTTCCATTATTGTTGAAAATGTTTTTCTTAACCTTTTCATAAC